ATATATATATATAGTCATCAGTGGAAGTGTTGGTGTAATAAAGGCACTGTATTTCAGTAAGGGCCATCAGGCAAGATGAAGGAGGTGGGTTTGGTCTGTAAAGGAATAAAGGTGTTGAGAGAGCTCAGCAGAAAGGCTGTAAGAGAAGGGACCTGGGAGAAGCAACTGCACAGCAGCATTAGGAGGTGGAATGAAACAACACTCTGATCCTGGGGGCCAGTCTGGATGAGGGGTCTGAAGCAGGTGGAATTCACCAAACACAAAGCTTAAAATGGCACTCTAGGGCAGGAGAGATGACTCGGTGAGTGGTTCAGAGCGCTGTATGCTCTTGCAGAAGACTTGGGTTTGGGTCGCAGCACCCACATGGCAGCTAACAACCATCTGAAACACCAGTTCTAGGGGATTCAACACCCTCTTCCGGCTCCTCTGGGCACTGCATATACTTACATACATGCAGGCAAAACACATATAAAACGAATTTTTTTTTTTTTGGTCTTTTTGAGACAGGATCTCCCTGTAGCCCTAGCTGTCCTGAAATTTACTCTGAAGACCAGGCTGGCCTTCAACTCACAAAGATCCGCTTGCCTCTGTCTCCCAAGTGCTGGGATTAAAGGCGTGCACCACCAAGCCTGGCCAATAAAATGAATTTTTAAAGTAAAAATAATAAAATGACCTTCTAGTTCAAACTTCCTTCCAGTCTACTTAGCACAAAGAACCAGATGATGCTGGCTTCTGGTGCCTGAACAGATCCACCTGGAGGAGTCCAGACACTCACTTAGGTTCCCAAGAGATGCTGGAATTTTCAACTTGAGTGCATTGGAGGTGTCTTCAAATTCACTTACTCAACAAAGCACTTAGTACCCTGGTTAGGCACTGCCAGATTCTAGGAATACAGACATACCACCCATGGGTTCAGTCAGTCATTTCAGGTCTATTTTTAGTGGCATATTTTGTTTACTCATTATACAAATGCAGCAAACAGAAGAAAAGAAATGTACAAATGAATGAGTTGTGAAATAACCTTCAAACCACCATCAAGGAGAATTCTCCTAGCCACCCCAGAAATTCTTTGTGCGCTGCCAAACACCACCTCTACATTTTCTTCAGAGCAACTGTCAACTTGACTTCTTCGGTAATTACTTCCCAGTTGTTCATATTTTCTTACCCAAGTGAAAATCTCAACAATATAGCTTTACTTTCTTAAAAAATGTATTTCTCTACTTCTTTGGAATTTATGATGTAACATTCAAAATGGAATTTTGCTTGTTTCACTTGGGTAATTTATAGGGTTTTTTGCATTTTATTTATTTACTTTTATTTTGTGTATAAATGTTTTGCCTGCATGTATGTAAGTGCATCCATGTCATGCACTTACATGGATGGCCAGTAGAGGGTCTTGGATTCCCCTGGAACTGGAGTT